TAAATTTATTGCAGCCCATGAGACGAGAAGAGGACAAATTTGATTAAATAGATATTGATTAAACAAAATGATACCACATTGTTACATCTTAAAGACAAGTTTTATGTTCCAGAGATAATATCATGGGTTAAGTTTAAATTTCAGACAGATTAATAATTGAATTTGGATTGGTGAAAAAGCTTAATGCGGGCACTAAACACTAATATCCTGTTACGGAAATCAAACACAGTGTAACCAAATGCATGCTGCTGTTACACAAGTAGGCATTGGTTACCTGTAAACCTTACCACAACTTCAACTTGATATTGACACTAACTGAAAAAAAGTTAAAAGGTAACCATGCTGTGAAACAAAAAATGCTACGATAAAAAAAAGGAAAAAATACGTTTTTTGATCAAGAAGACGTCAAAATATAGTCTGCAAATGAAATTGGCATGTGAGTATTTTGTAAATAAATCGGAAAAAAATTAAATCTTTTTGTGTTGTTTTTGTTCAAGAAAGCACGGCAACACGAAATGTAATCAACGGATGCATGTGAAAAACTGGCAAATGGAATCACCTGGGAAACATGACAACGCCAGGTTATATTTATAAATCATAGGAATAATTATTAAAAACCGAAATTGACGAAGAAACTAGGCAGGGAACACATGTCATCGCCGGTCGACTACAGTGTGAATGGCAGAACGGTAGATGTGATTTCTACGGTGGCCTATAACTGCCATCTACTTGTCGTCTTGCCATTTGAGACGTTGAGACTAGTCATGAAAATTTCGTGATAAATTGACTTTCAAATAGCCTCAAGTATTACGACAACACGACATTTTGACGAGACAAGGTTCGGATCTGACAAACGTTAAAACTTTACTTTCTCTAAAAATAGACTGACATGTTATTCGGGATACCTCACTAACTGACATCACACCAAAGGGCCTAAGCTATAGGAGGCTCGCCAAAAACCCGCTACAGTGATTTTTGTCGCTTTATTGCCGAATATCCAAAATACCGAGGTCTCCCGAATAGCACGTCAACACGTTAATAGAAAACAATGTAGTGACACTATCTGTATTATTATGTAATAACACAACCTGTCCTCTGTATTATATACACTGACACAGACACTATCTGTCCTCTGTATTATATATACTGACACAGACACTACCTGTCCTCTGTATTATATACACTGACACAGACACTATCTGTCCTCTGTATTATATATACTGACACAGACACTACCTGTTCTCTGTATTATATATACTGACACAGACACTATCTGTCCTCTGTATTATATATACTGACACAGACACTACCTGTCCTCTGTATTATATACACTGACACAGACACTATCTGTCCTCTGTATTATATACACTGACACAGACACTATCTGTCCTCTGTATTATATATACTGACACAGACACTACCTGTTCTCTGTATTATATATACTGACACAGACACTACCTGTCCGTGTATTATATACACTGACACAGACACTATCTGTCCTCTGTATTATATATACTGACACAGACACTACCTGTTCTCTGTATTATATATACTGACACAGACACTATCTGTCCTCTGTATTATATATACTGACACAGACACTACCTGTTCTCTTTTTTTATATATACTGACACAGACACTACCTGTCCTCTGTATTATATACACTGACACAGACACTACCTGTCCTGTGTATTATATACACTGACACAGACACTACCTGTCCTGTGTATTATATACACTGACACAGACACTACCTGTCCTGTGTATTATATATACCGACACAGACACTATCTGTCCTCTGTATTATATATACTGACACAGACACTATCTGTCCTCTGTATTATATACACTGACACAGACACTACCTGTCCTCTGTATCATATACACCGACACAGACACTACCTGTCCTCTGTATTACATACACTGACATAGACACTACCTGCCCTCTGAATTATATACACTGACACAGACACTACCTGCCCTCTGTATTATATAAACTGACACTGAATCTATCAGATACATGTATTGACACAACTTGTCGTGTGTATTATATACACTGACACAGATTCTAACCTGTGTGATAGGCTGTGTCGCTGACTCTTTACTATCTGATACATAATGACACTACATCTTTCCCGTGTGAACATTACCCTGAGGGACGTTCACTGTATCTCCAACAGTAACACGACTGTGGAAGCATTTGATGATATTGACACCAATTAAGTGGACGAACGAATCGACAGATGATATTGTCCTGGTCAGGGATACGTTTGTCCGGGGTTCCGGACAATAATTTCCCGGAGGTGTCGTAAAATAAAGAAAGGGAATTATTATCTTATATGAACGTGATCGTTTTCCATTCCGACGGAATCAATTACCAATGTTATACAGTCAACTGGCACCATATTGCTTAATTTGAATCTCGTGATAACACACTGTCTCTACAAGAAGAAAGGACTCAGAACCACAGCATGCACCAATTCAATTGATGCATTTGCAATGTACGAGGTTCTCCGTGTTTTACTTCACTAAAAGCCTTATGTTGTTTTTATTCACACTAGTTATATCCCAGGAATATTGTGATTGTATGACACCAATACCAGGAGACAAATTTTAAATGAAACAAAATATGAAAAAAAGGCATTTACCTTCATGTGCATTAGGCAACGCGTAATTAATTAACACTCTGGTAAATGGTATACCGGCTGTATCCACATACAATACACACAGTGAAATATATGGTTGTAAATTTTCTTTGACTTACACAGTTATATTTTTAAACCTAAGGAAATGTCCATCAAACACTCCACTAAATTATACACTGACATGCGCAATCAAGCAATTCAATGACGTAACTCAAGTATCAGTATACACAAAGTCTGTGTGTGTGTGTGTGTGTGTGTGTGTGTGTGTGTGTGTGTGTGTGTGTGTGTGTGTGTGTGTGTGTGTGTGTGTGTGTGTGTGTGTGTGTGTGTGTGTGTGAGGGTGTGTGTGTTTGTGTGTGTGTGTGGTGTTGGCTGGTGGTGTCTGTGTCTGTGTGTGTTTGTGTGTGTGAGGATGAGGGTGTGTGTGTGTGTGTGTGCGTGTGGGTGTGTGTGTGTGTGTGTGTGTGTGTGTGTGTGTGTGTGTGTGTGTGTGTGATGGTGGTGTGTGTGTGAATCATATATTAGAATGATTTCTCCTTCTGTATGTCCTGTTTTTACATCTTTGTACATCCAAAACATCGCACTCCAGTGAAGAGATTAATAGCTATGACGTTACCAATTCTAATTCATTAGATGTAGAATGACTTATTTAACGTCCATGGTGCTATGAACGTTCATCGGTTACATTCAAATGGCATGAAGTCCGCTTAAAACCGACTTTCAATCCATATATCTATATTTTAACGAATAATTTGTCTATTTTTGGTTTTTTTAACAAAAAATAAATAAATAAATAAATAAATGAATAAATAAAAAAAACTCACTGAAGGGAAAATAAGTACACAAGGAATAGATTTTCGGGGGAATAGGTTCGAGGTTACTCGTTGATTGTCAAAACACACACAACGGAAAAGAAATATAGTCCGTATGAAAAAAAATATTTATTGAATTTTTTGTACTTTTACATTGGGAACAATTGAACACATGCATATATACACAATAAAAAACGTTAGAAATGAACCTTATTCAAAAGAATTCACGCAGCTCCATGTCACCGTTGACGACGCAGTGATGTGGCTCCGGTGACGTCATGTTCGTGGATGGTCTTTAACCGTGTTCGTCTGCCAAAAACTCATTCTCTAAGCCTTTATCATATCCATGTGCATCCCCAAACTGCCTTGCCACATTATTCTTAGATATTTTGACTCCGCGCATGTCAACGGCGCGTAAACGTTGATTTTAGCCCATATATGGCATATTCCTGTTAAAATTCTCTCCAAAAAGCAACGATTTAATGATGCAAAGCATAGACTTCTATCCATAACTGTAAGACCTGTTCTCTAAGACTGTTTTACTTAAGTAAGCGTTGCCAAATTTTGAAATTAGAAAAAAAAATGCGCTGGTCACTGAAGCGTAACGAAAGCAAAGTTTAAACCAATAAAAAAACTTTCAATACATTTAAATTATCGGTGATAACAACATTGTGAATGTTTTTTCTCAAATTTGTATTTATTTATACACAGTTTCTTTTGTTCCGTTTGGATATATTTTAGTTTAAATAGTTTACTGATGTTTAAGTTGAGAAACATCCGTTTATTGTGATAGAAATATTCATTATCATGTTGTACACTGTCAATTTAAAATCTACACGAAAGTTACGGTTGTCCCGGCGTAATCACCACAGATACCAGAGTAACTGTGTTGCAATTATAACGTGATACCACGAGGGTGTGGATTCAAATAAAAAGAAAATATGTTTACATCATTATTTTTTGTATTTCCATAAACCGTATGACACTCGACTGAGTTTTTGTACAAGGGAGGATTTTTAGACAGGTCTGTAATAGCTTGATGGCATTCTTCACACTATTAGTCAATACATCTTCAGGTTTGTAAATAGAATGTATCTGATTCATTTAAACACAATCAGTTCCACGTACAATAGTGGCGCGTCTGTCTAATTTACAATCATGTTGCGCTCGTTATGTGTAATTCACGATACTATACCATGCATGCTTTGTATTGACTTCACCAATTCCATCCCCTGTATTAGACCTCCTGCTGGTAATTATTGATCATCTGTGTATTTAAATCTTGTGCGACAACATACAGATTGATTAAAAATATGTATCAACTATAATAAATAGTATCAAATATGGATATATTTAAAATAGGCATGCTTCACATCACTCGTCAACACTTGAAAAATACATTAAGCGTTTGGACTGAATACAAAAATATAACACGTTCAGGTATTACCACCACTTTATTGCCTACTGATTACATTATCGGTAATTAAGTTGGGATCAAGTTCCCACAGAGAATTGTGATTTTTTTTAAAAACATTGGCCAATATCAAACACGATTCTCATCATATATCTTCAATAAAAACAAGTTTCCCTTGGACTGACGTCGTTGTTGTTGTGCTCTTTCCTCCTGTTGAGAAAATTCATTATCTGCTTGAAACAATCACAGGACTATGGATAACTGGTGACACTCCCTTAGCTATTTCAAACTATGACCACCCCTTTGGGAATTCTCACTATGACTCTCCATTACAAAATTCCTACTATGACTATGGAAAATTCTGCTTATTAACTGTATTTTATTTTACAACAAATGCGAAACAAGTTATTTCAACTTATATTAGTCACTCTTGTTGACCCGCATGTAATCGCGCGAGGGGTCTTATTGTGAGAGGGAACCGCATTACCAGGGGAAAACCCACGAAGTCGGCAGGCGACCCTTACCTCTTTCACATCCGTTCCGGGAATCGAACCCCGGACGTCTAGGTTTAAAGCCGTCTGTTTATGAATCTCATTTAGAAATTTCTGACTACGACAGGCCCTGAGAGAATTCTGGCTATCACTCTTTTTTTTTTTTTTATAGAATCCTTAGTATGTGACTTTCATTTGGAGAATTTCAGCTATGAACTTCCCTTGGAGATTTTCAATGTATCATCACTATAACGACTGTTGAACGTTTGACAGGTAATTCTGAATACGGTCCTGGCTAGTGGAATGCTTTCTATGACTTTTTTATTCAGAGAATTTCGTATATAGGAAAATCTCGGCTATGACGCTTCCTTGGGAAACTTGTAAATCTGACCACCAGAAATCAGAGTATGACCCTCCCTTGACGAATATTGAACACAACCGTCGCTGGGAGAATTCTAAAGGAACAAGCATTCCATGTCACAAAAGAATAAAACTAATTCGTTGTCTTCATCAATCTGCATCTCCTGAAACCCTGCGTTTTTAATTTTCCCATCAGTTATCATCATACACCACGAAAATTGGGAGGCAACCACTGAAATGCCAATACAACATAAGGATAACACAAAAGAACATAAGATTTATCAAAGGAATATCGACACCTAACATTAAGTGACAAGAGATGTAGCCACCGAATGAACCACCAAAAAGATACTGAAACCGAAGAAACGGTGCGGTGACAAGGCATGGTGACACCGCAGGTGCGGTGACAAGGAATGCCGACAACGAAGGTGCAGTGACAAGGCATGCCGAGATCGAAGGTGAGATGACAAGGCATGCCGAAACCGGAAATTGAGTGACAAGGCATGCCGACACCGGAAATTGAGTGACAAGGCATGCCGACACCGGAGGTGCAGTGATAAGGCATGCTGACACCGGAAGTGCAGTGACAAGGCATGCCAAGACCGAAGGTGCGGTGACAAGACATGCCAAGACCGAAGGTGCGGTGACAAGACATGCCGACACCGGAGGTGCAGTGATAAGGTATGCTGACACCGAAGGTGCGGTGACAAGGCATGCCAAGACCGAAGGTGCGGTGACAAGACATGCCGACACCAGAGGTGCCGTGACAAGGCATGCCGAGACCAGAGGTGCAGTGACAAGGCATGCCGAAACCGAAGGTACAGTGATAAGGCATGCCGACACCAGAGGTGCAGTGACAAGGCATGCCGAGACCAGAGGTGTAGTGACAAGGCATGCCGAGACCGAAGGTGCAGTGACAAGGCATGCCGACACCAGAGGTGCAGTGACAAGGCATGCCGCAACCGAAGGTACAGTGACAAGGCATGCCGAGACCGAAGGTACAGTGACAAGGAATGCTGACATCGCCGAAATGGTTACAAAAAAGAATTCCGGCACCAAATGACCTCGGCAATGAAAGCTGAAACTGAAGATATAGAGACAAAAAAGATGTTGACACTGAAGATACAGTGAAACAACGATACTGTGACAAGACATGCTGATACTGTAGGTAAAGCAACAAAAAGTGCTGGCACTGAAGGAACAGTGACATGGGATACTAATACCGACTGTCCGGGCTCGTAAGAACTTTACCTGTTGGCCTTATAGCATGATCGATAGAGGTGACTGAATTTGGGATCTGGTCTTTCTGTTTTCCTTGACATTGCCATATTTTTTAGCCTTCATTTGAGTGATTATACCTGTCAGGAAGGCTTGGTCTTCTAGAAAAGACACACCAAAATCTTTTACAAGAGATCTCAGCAGGATCTTGGCTCCCACTATTCTTGAACCTGACACGCTATGGGATGGTGCCAGGTTCTAATGTTGAGAGTTACGGAGCGAGAATTCGGATACAGTGTTTATGTGTTATAATAAATTTGACAACCTGTCGACTATTTTGTTGTTGTGTTCAGCTTTAAAATCAAACGGACACAACAAGGGACCAAAGGAAAGCGATATATAATTTGAGATAGATTCACTTAGCAATGAAAATGACAGTAACACAAATCCCTGCATATCGTTTAGTATTATGATTTGTTTCAAGTGAAATCGGAGGATTTGACGAAGTAATCTGTTTTGATATGCACTTTGATTAATTCAGCCTCATACGAAAACAACAAGAGGCCTATAGGGACTATATCACTCACTTGAATTTGCTTTATTCAAACTAAAGGAAAAGTTTTAAAGATTCATGATTATACCCTCATTCAGCATCGGGTTCAAACCTCTGTCGCCAAGAGGATCAGCCCAATTGTTTTTTTTAAAGAGATCTCTTAATTCAGGATGATATTTCTATAGAAGAGATTTCAAAGAATTTACTCTCTTCCCTATTTGGCCCATCATTCTCGTTCCATGGGGCCGAGACGCATATCTTATACAAAACTGTTTCCCTTCAACCCAAGATGCTTCAGACGAAATTGGGAAAACCCAATCAATCCTACAGAAAATGTAAACTAAACTAAATCCCCCTGTTTAGGCTTCTTAGCGCACCATGTTTGTAAATCGGATGCCGCGACACACCAAATCGAAAGTTGGACACGTGATTGTATTCATAACCAGTCTCGTTATGAGGAGTAAGATCATGTTGAAACACAAATCAGCCACAGAGGGGCAGTTTGTTCCCATCGTTATGTCATTGGCCTCTTCCAAGATTTCATCCTCAGCATATTTCAGAAATGCTCTTCAAGATAGGTCACAACGACAGTCTCATAATCACAAATTGATGGCGTTCCTTCAGTATTTGGAATGGGGACTGTAGTGTACAGAGCGGAGAAATTAAATGCTTTTATAGAAGCGGTGTTTTTTTCAGGACATGATGTTCCATATTGCTAGTATTTCGTCGAAAAGAGTGGATAATGTGAATGAAGGGTTTACTTTGTTATCGAGCAACCTACATTCTGAATGCAAGAGAGAGACCATGTTAGCAGTCAAAGATCTAGTTACTGTATACAGGATAAAGTTAACACTAGTTCTGTCATGATAACCATGGAAACAAAGCTGTTTAATTTCACTTTTAGATTTATCGATGACGTCTTGCCTTTAAATAGCTTGAGACATATTGACCGCGTCCATTGTATATATCCACTAAAATTTAAAATTTGCCTTGTTGGTATTTTCTTGATGTTTATTGAACCAAACTTTAAATTAACGAAAAGGAAAACGCTATTTCTGTATTTAAAATTTGTCTTTTATACCTAAATTTTACCAATATATCTGATGTTTTAATCTCACTGATTTTGAATTTTACTTTTGGGTCCGATATTAAAATACTATGGTATAGGTCTATCTAAGGCTTAATATTAAAGCTAATATCATACATATATCTGTTATAGCTGCTCGCACTGGGTTACTAAGTATCAACATACGTGAAGGTAGCGATGTCTTTAATCTAGTAAGGAGTTCTCGATTCGGGACTTCTCGTAAGCAAAGTGACGAATCTAACTCCCCTAGCTGAGATACATTAAACTTATAATCCAATATAAAACAGTCTTAGAAGAAAAAAGTATATGTCTTTGGTGTTCACGAGATAATAAAACAAATGATGATAGGAAAGGTTCTATACAATTTACTACAGTTTTAACGACATGGGGAGGACCGAAGCTGGTACAAATGGAACATCTGTTTCGGATCCTATCTCATAAGTGTTAATGGTTTCATCAGACGCTTTGATTAGCTCCTTTTGTCAACTTATTACGGAAAACCTCCGCAGATAGCAGCCACGAGTAACGACACACCTACAACATCAAACAATACGAGATGTTTTAATATCTTTTTACTGATATTTTATAATTACAACTGCCATTGCCTAGGATACCAAGCTACATGTATAAAATTTCAACAAAACATTTACTAAAGGAAATCCGGAAGTGAAAGGTCACCGGATCGTAAACTTTATACAGAGTATTGAGTAAATACACAAGTGTGTATACTGTTCACTATAATGTTTTGCTGAGGTTACACTTTTTTTTTTTAATTCTTCAAACTTATTTTCTGTTGATTTTATAATTTACTCAATTTTTTTTTCATCCTGCAATGCCAACTTGTTATGACGTAATCAGGGTCCCGCAAACGTTTGTAAATCGATCTAGCTAGATCTATCGAGAATTTCCGCAAATCATATACGATATACGTTTGTTTAAATTGTTAATTGACGTGTACGGATTCATTAAGAACATAAGTAGATGGTTTTGTACAGTTTTCCTCAAAAGCATCTCATGGAATCCTAATTTGAGCGGCATATCCCTTTCATTAAATGAAAAAAATGTAATCAGATGTATATATTTACCAGCTTCATATTCAGATTCATACGTTCCTCCATTATCAACCATGACACCTAAAAACATTAAAGATAAAGGTATATCTCAGCGAAGGATGAAAAAAAAAGCACTCTTAGGCTATCAGTTGTTCGTCAGAATATCAAATGAGCAATAATCATGTTCTCACTTGTGTTTGTAAGCAATGATGTTCTCATTTGTGTTCATGAACAATAAACAATGTTTTCACTTTTGCTCGTAAGCAAAAATGTTCTCATTTGTGTTTATAAGCAATGATGTTCTCATTTGTGTTCATGAACAATAAACAATGTTTTCACTTCAGTTCGTGAGCAATAATGTTCTCACTTTTGTTCGAAAGCGATAATGTTCTCATCTGTGTTCATGAACAAGAAGCACTTGTGTTCGTCAATAAATCATGTTCTCACTTGTGTTTGTAAGCAATGATGTTCTCATGTGTGTTCATGAACAATAAACAATGTTTTCACTTCTGTTCGTGAGCAAAAATGTTCTCACTTGTGTTTATAAGCAATGATGTTCTCATTTGTGTTCATGAACAATAAACAATGTTTTCACTTCAGTTCGTGAGCAAAAATGTTCTCACTTTTGTTCGAAAGCGATAATGTTCTCATCTGTGTTCATGAACAAGAAGCACTTGTGTTCGTCAATAAATCATGTTCTCACTTGTGTTTGTAAGCAATGATGTTCTCATGTGTGTTCATGAACAATAAACAATGTTTTCACTTCAGTTCGTGAGCAAAAATGTTCTCACTTTTGTTCGAAAGCGATAATGTTCTCATCTGTGTTCATGAACAAGAAGCACTTGTGTTCGTCAATAAATCATGTTCTCACTTGTGTCTCTAACATAAAAATTTGGAGTGTTTGATGTTCATTTTTCTAACTGACCGACATTTAAATTTTGAATGTTGAAAATATGTCGAGCTACGGAGCATTCAAATTCTGATGGCTGTGTATGGAGCTTCACGACATTCAAATGCTAAACGTTGTATGTCGTATGTCGAGATGTACAAGTATCATATTCGGAGTGTTGAATTTTACATGTCGAGATACGCGACATTCAAACTGTTAAAGCTGAATGTCGTGTGTTGAGTTTTTCAAATTCTCATGTCAGATGCTGTAAGTACGATAACACCAACACCTTGCAATAATTGAAATTTGAATTATAAGTATGACCTTCACAATGACAGATTATGCTAATTATAATTGACATAAAGCAGTTCGACATATCAAGTACAGGGAAAAAAACTACGGAAGATAGGTACCTGCTAAAATGACTCCTACCAAGCTGCCAACCCCAGTGAAGAACATCTCGATTCCAAAAGCGGATGCAAAGTTGTTGATTCCAACTATGTCTGGAGTTATGGTGTTCAGTAATACATAAAAGCAACCGGAGTTGGTTCCAAAAACAATGGCATATATCATCTTCCCGATTTAGGTTGTAACATCTAGAGGTAAAATACTGTCAATAAACCGGAAATTCCGTAAGTGCCAAAATATAACATGTGTGAGATATCGTTCTTGTTACCTATCAGCCCGATACAAAACTTGCCCAGACAGTCCATCATCCCTATAACGGACGCAAGGAATGACGCTTTGATATCATAGGTGCCCTTGGATATCGAATAACTCGTTAGTTAAATGCACTTTTAACATATGCATTCCAATATGGCTTGTAAACTAACTCGCACAAATCCAGAGAAATGGCACATGGCAAAATAAATGAAACGGACTACAAATACGTTTAGTTGTTGAAGAGGAGTTTGCAGTTTCCAGCGGTTTCTTCATCATTTCGATCTCAGTTAGAAAACACAATGATCCGAATACGCTGATATTGAAAGCAACACGTGTCATGATAAAGACGCCAGAATTATCATATGTTTCCCGTGCTAGCTGAAACAAGTGTGAAAAGATAAAAACTCCGACGCCGGACCTTCAGCCTGTGATTCTATTGGCCATACTTATTTTCTCCATGAAATCAAACCTCACAACTACCACACGGGCAGAG